CAATAAGGTATGATAAGACTAGGAAGACATTGTTAAATACAAGATACTATACCTACCCTTCCATATATATTGTTAATAGCATATACTTCTCTTGACATGCGTTCCCATAATATATGCTTTCTATACACCATCTCTCAAGATGCTTTAAGATAGCAATAGGAGTTTAGGCAATAAATGGTGTAGACAAACAATTGAGTGGGCTTATGTGAGAAAATATACTAATTGATCATTTAGAAAAAAACAAAAGGTTGACTAAGAGAGCCTTGAAGAAAATAATGGCAATTATAGTAACAATCTAATTCAATATGCTTCGTCCGATTATAGAGCACATCATTGTGAGCAAGCTACATTGCACTTTTATTGTCATAAAAAAGTGTAGCAAGACCGGATTGAACAATACCCATATATCGAAAAAACCATTGCAACTAGACAATTTAACCACATTATGTTCAAGAGCTCGATACTCAGCTTTAGCACTTGAGTGAGTCGACTTTTTATTTCTTACTTTTCCATAAGATAATGAACCTCTCAAGAAAACAAGAAACCTAATAGTAAAATGATTATTGGTAATATCCCCTTCCCAATCCATATCAGAGTAAACATAAATTTCAAGTGAGGAATTAGAGGATATGAGCAAACCCTTGATGCAGGGTACTTCAAACATAGCATTAGATGCAAATCACATCAACATAGTGAACAAAGCAGGGTGTAGACATGAATTGACTCACTACATGAATAACATGATTGATATGAGGACCAATGATAGTTAAATAATTAAGACCAACAATATGCAGGTATCATATAGGATCAGACAGTGACTCTTTACATGTAGGGCGAAGCTTGACATTCAACAAGTGAAGTATCAATAATTTTGTTGCATGTTAAAGTAGCCTTAGTTATGAGATCGGATGAACACCTCACCAAGAGATGGAATATACGCGCTAGCTGAGTAATCCACTTCAATATCAAGAAAATACTAAGTCGTCTAAGGTCCTTCGTTTCAAAGCACTTGCGGTTGAGTCTCATTGAATGAACCCTAGTGTGATAACATAGCTAAACTTCGCAAATAAAAAATGAGGTGCCTATTTAAGATGATATATTTCTCATCAAAATTGCAAACTAGATGAGCCTGCCGCTCTGATTGTAAAGCCTTGGTCTGTTCATTAGACATGAAACACATCTTAAACCCATAAAGAACGCATCTCTTTAGATCCATGTATTTGCGCAAATCTAATGATTTTTTAGGAATTAAAATGAAGAGTTTAAAAATTATAATAAATTATTTTAATTTTTTTTCATATTCATAATCATGATGGTTGAGATTTTCAACATATTGAAATTTCAAATATCTAATGCGACACACTATATTGGTGGTAAGAGATTTTGGTTCACTTTTTCTCATCACCTATTTTATTTTCCTTTATTTGTCAATCTTAAAACAGTAAAACAAGCCATTAGAGAGAGAGAGAGAGAGAGAGAACATGCTATTAGAGGGAGAGAGTGAGAAACGATGGGGCAAAACTTTTAAATTGATTTACAAAAATTGTAAACAAAATAATTGATTTACAATAAATCTTTAAATCAGTTGACAATAATTTTCAACAAATGTAAACAAAATAATTGATTTACAATAAATCTTTAAATCAGTTGACAATAATTTTTGCATTTTTAACCAATTTATAGATAAAAATTTACTATAAAAATTTATTTACAGGAAACAAAGATTTAAAAAAACAAATCAATTTACATTGATTATGTAAATTAATTTATAGATCTTTCAAAGTTCAAATTTTTCATTATAATATCCAAGAAGGACGTAAATCTATGATCTACAATAAATTTGTGAATGTAAATATACCAAATCAGTAAATCAATTTACACATGATGAGTTCGAAGATTTACAGTAACCAAAGAAAAAAAAGCAGCTTGATTGTTAGCTTTTTGGCAGGTTATCTTTCAAAATAATAGTATTTGGACTGTATAGGTTTGTGGTTATGAAGACTACGGTTGTGAATAATTCTGCACAAATTAATAGTACTATTACTATACAAATGAATAGTACTGTTCAAATGAATAGGATTGCGAATAGTACTATGCAAGACCATATGAATAGTACATGCAAGATCAAGAAAATAGTATAGTCTGTGTAGTCGGATCCAAGTGGTTCACACCCTTCTTTTTACACTTTTTCACCATTAATTAATTTGCGGGTCGAGTGCCAGCATAAAAAAAAAAAAAGTGTACACTAAACAACAAAGTGATTGCACATGGATCATGATTAAAATAAGGACGCGGTTAGCATGCGGCCAAGCCCGTACATGTAGAAATGTGGGCTTGGCAATAAATATATTTTTTTAATATAATTTGATCTTAATTTTAGCGAATATATAATTTTTAATATGGAGATCATGAATATGAAAAAATAAATAAATTTTGAAAACAAAAAATAATAATTATATTAAATAAACATTTAGATCGTTAGTTACAATTGGTTTTAAATGAACCATCTATTTGCATCTATAACCATTATTCTTAAAATAATGCATAATAACTATGGGTGGCATTCATACATTGTTTCCACATGAACACATGTGCTACTACGTGAAGACATATTACTGTACTAGTGTTACTATTGTAATAGAATATTTTTAGATATAAATAAGTGACCCACTTTTTAAAGAAAAATCAGAGAATCAGTGCCTCTTATTGAAGTTTGTGGTATCATACCGATTTGAAAAACACATCAATTAATAAAGTGTGTTTTTGTGAGGGTATTATAAGTGTGCAATTCAAAGACTTAGAAAATATATTCCAATCTGGCTATATATTGGAAGTGTACTCGCCAGGACCCATTTGTACATCAAAATTTCACCAGAAAGGGGCATTTAACACTTCAAAAAAAAAAAGAACGCATCTCATGCGTCTAGATCCCCTACTTTAGTCCCAATAATTAAGAAATTTCATTCACTATAATATATAAATTAGTACGATGAGAATCCCAAATAACTAACATTAGTTTGAAGTAAAACCTCAATGATTTTATTTTTTTATTTATTTTTTAATGTTTTAATGGTGGGAATGCAGCCTAATACATTATGTTGTGGCACTTGCCCCCCAAACCACCAGTGCCCCATTCATTTGGAATAAATCATGTGAAAGGCTAATCAATAAAGAAAAAAAGGTTTGTGTCTCACTTTTAAAATTAGAGAAGTGACAACTTCCTTCTTCCATGGAGAGAGAGAGAGATGATGTGCAATGAGAAGTTGTTGATGTCATTCAAAATATCGACTAGGAAATTTACTGGACGATTTAGAGGGTATTGATGGCATTAAAAAATGTTGATTTTCTTTGTAATATTTTAAATATCCATAATCGATGAACTATTAACATTTTACTTGCATCGTTTTTTTGATAGAAACATTTTTACCTATATCTTTTGATTTACTTTCAAAATACCGTAAAAATCACATGAGTATGACTAGCAGTAGTTCAAATACATAAAGGGAATAAGACATAAATCCCCTTTTCTAAAAGTTTAGAATCATCTATGGAACTCCCCAATGTTAAACAAAAAAAAAGGACGTTTAATTTCCTCTTTATCTTTTCATTATCCAAATTATAAAATTTACCCTTATTTATTTTTAATTGTTCTCTTTTTCTGTTTTCTTCACTAATGGACTTTTTCCACCTATCTAGCCACCTTTCCCGAATACTTATCTCTCTCTCTCTATCTCTCTCATTCAGTGAACCTAACAAGTAAGTTAGAAGATGCATCACAAACTTGATTTTTTATGATAAATTTATAAGATGAAAAAATGATAAATTCTGTAATTTGGACAACAAAAAAGATAAGGAGGGGGTTAAACATTTCTTTTGTTTACCTTGAGGTTCCATGGGTTTTTAATGAGATCAAAGGGTTATTTGGTATAATAATTCTAGAGAGCGGGTATACGTCATTTTCCCATAAATAAAATACTAAATAGTTGAACTCTTATAGTATTTTGATAAATTTTTCAAAATATAAAATAAGGTTAATCCAAGTGCCTAAAATATTTGGGATTTTTGCCATCCAAAAAGGGCATAAAGCTTTCGATAGTTACTTCTTTGACCTTATTCGACTAAAGATCCCTTTACCTAGAGGAACTTCCAAAAACACGATACCTTTACATACGATGAAAGAATTGCATTTTATAAACCATTGATGATGGAATTTTCATGGGGAAATTGATTTTTATTTTTATTCCTAAGAGCAATTTGAGAGTTTTCCGCTCTGTCCACCCATTTCCCTAGCAGTGGTTTTCTTTTGGTGTGGTTAAACGGCCGGGTGGCCCAGGGCTTTCAGGTAGGGGTGGTAATTGGGTCTGGACGGCCCGATGTCCCAACCCAATTTGGGTATGGGTCTGGGCTTAAGTTTTAGGTCAGGTGGGTCAGGTTTGGGTCCAAAACCCTAGACATATATATTTATGTCTGTAGGCAACAAATCCCCTTTATGCCTGCAGCTCTACATACATCACACATGCGCACACACATATATATTTAAAGGGTTATGTTAGGATACTCATACATATGAGTATTTACTTAATGTACTCAATATTTTTGGACATAATATCCTTACTCAATCATGTAATGAGCCCTGGACTTAGAGGTCTTGTTAGGTCAGGAAGGGGAACCAACCCAATTGCATCCTTGATAGCCACAAATATATACAACAAAAAAGTAATCCAAAAAATACACATTTTGCATAGGAAAGTGGGGAGAGTTGTTTCGATTCCTTCCATTTTTTATTCTTTTTGTTTTTCCTATTGCCTGTCTGCACTGTATAGCCACCCAAGGGAGACAAAATCAATCAAATGCGCATATTTCTGCATAGACAAGGTTAAAGATCGTCTTGTAGATATACTTCAAACCATTATAGGAGCGGTAGTCGAGTGTGTATTCAACACATATAAAGGGGTGGGGTTTGAGCCTTGAGGCAGGAATGGAGCATGGAGTGATGATGTTTCTTTGGGTGCTTGTGATTGGCTTGGCCACTTTGGTGGTGGTGAGCCGGTGGTGGCACAGCCAGCACCACCAAAAGGGCCTCAAGCTCCCCCCAGGAACCATGGGATGGCCCCTCATAGGGGAGACCCTCCAATTTATTGGCGCCGTGGGCTCGAAAGGGACCGAAGGTTTCCTCAAAGAGAAGGCTCAAAAATATGGGACTGAGGTCTTCAAGATCTCTGTCCTCGGCCGGCCACTTGCAGTATTTTGTGGAGCTGCAGGCAACAAATTCCTGTTCTCAAATGAGAACCGAGTGCTTGTAACGACATGGCCGCCCTCAGTCGCGAGGATATTTGGCAGTGCATTGAACATCGCGACAGGGGACCATGCCAAACGAACGCGTAAACTCCTAATGGCTTTTTTGAAACCGGAGGCGCTCCAAAAATTCGTCAGTCAAATGGATTTGGTAGCTCGAGAGCACCTTAGAACACACTGGAATGGGAAACTGGAGGTGAGGGCATACGATATGCTAAAAGTATACGCATTCGCCTTAGCCTGCACCCTGTTTGCTAGTATTGAGGGCGAGGAGCGTAGGGCAGAGCTCTCTGCACTCTTCAAGGTTTTTCTCAGAGGGCTAATGGGGTTGGACCTGAAAATTCCTGGAACAAGGCATTATAAGGCTAAAAATGCGGCGGCTGCGCTAAAGAGAGAGCTCATGAAGGAGTTGGAGGAGAGAAGGGTGGCTTTGAGTGAGGGAAGAGCGAGCCCGAAGCAAGACCTACTGTCCTATTTACTCACCACTGCTGATGACCAGGGCGGTTATATGAGCGATACAGAGGTGGTGGACAATATCTTGCTCATGCTTTTCGCTGGCCATGACACCAGCAGTTCGACACTGTTGATGGTGGTGAAGCATTTGGCTGAGAAGCCTTACTTCTACAATGAAATCCTCAAAGGTACTCTCTCTCTCTCTCTGTGTATGACAATGTTGGTACCTAAGAAAATGTTGCCTCCACTCTATTTTGTGTTGAAAACACAAATTGGTCTCCTTTTAGTCAGGCTTTTCAATCTTTTTTGTGCCTCATTTCCAGTCCTTATGTTTTCTTCTATAGCTTTAAAACTCAGGTGAGTTTGACTCGGATTCGCCTGATTTGGTTGGACTTGGCAAGGTGTCGAATCTGAACATGAACCTCCAAACCTAAACAACTCCTATATTTTAGTAGAATCACTTATACGGACTCTACTCAGCCTCTCACAGACTATGTCGAGTCTTTAAAGACCATTTAGACTCGGGACGCTGCCATGCTCCAAATACAAAGCCTTCGTTTTGAATATGCTCAAACTTAACGAATTTTGTAACCTTTGTTTCTATTTTGTAATTTATTCAGAGCAAAGAGAAATTGCCCAGTCCAAAAAGAAAGAAGAACTACTGAATTGGGAAGATCTCAGAAAGATGAAATACACATGGAATGTGGTGTGCGAGGTGATGAGAGTTTCACCATCGGTCTCGGGAACTTTCAGACGCTCCATAACTGACTTTAACTATGCTGGCTTCCATATACCTAAGGATTGGACGGTAAATAACCTATTCTATTCTTCTTTTTATTTTTTTTCCTGGATAGTTCTGAAAAATAAGACCCCATTATACTGAGCCAAAAAAAATTAAAAATGATAAAACCAGGACCACTATATTGCCCCCGTTATGCTCCATAAGATAACCTAATTAAATATCATTGGGATTATATACTATGTAACAATTTACTATTGTTTTAAAGTGGTCACAATAACTTCTAGCTATTAGATGTCAAATTATATGGCTTGGGATATGTCATAAATCTTGAGAATTTTTTTTTTTTTTTAGCTTAAAGTTATGTCAATGACGCACTTACAACTATCCTACATAAAATTTAACAGATACAAGTGATTGTAACTTTTTTATACTAAAAAGTAAATAGTCTCTTTATATACTTTTTCAATGTCTTTTAACATTTTTCAAAAGTGTAAATTCTATTCGTGCTTCTTTAATTTTTTTAATGTAATAAGACCAATGAAAAACGATAAAAGAAATTAAAATTTTTTTCTCTTTTATAATTCTAGTTTTTTCTTTTTCTCATATCTTTCATGTCTATAATTATTTTGTGGAACAAAATTAGGAGTCCAAAAATCCCCACAGGAACTACCTCACAAGATTTTTTTAAGAGAACATGTATATGGTACTCCCGTAAGACCACACTATACACTTACTCCACCAAGAAAAAGGGATATTGGAAAGACTTAGACCTACAAATTAGATTGTTACCATTTTATTTTAGCATATTAGATTGCCTATAGATTTCTTTCTACAGTAGGAGCATACTATCTATTTACTCCCTTGGTCGTAGCACATGCTTGGGATACTTTATAGATCTCAAATTTTGAAGAAGTAATCTCTAAAACCCATGCAACAATATCAACAAAAAAAGAAAAAAGAAAAAAAATTTGAAGACTCTGAAAAGAGACCCTCCAAAATTTTGAAGGGTTAGATTTAAGTGTCACAAAGCTCAAAATTCAGATTTTTTTTTTTTAAATAATCATCTAGTAATTCTTATTTGGTTCCAAAATTTTATACTAAAAAATTTCTCCTAAATACGTGGTTTGGGCGTGGGAATAGATTCACAATATGCTCCTAAGGGGCATAGTATATGCACTCTGTTAGATTTGTCATGCATATATATAAACTGACTACGGATTTTTCGGATTTTTTTGAGGTCCTAGAAATACATGGTTTAGCCAAAAGATTTCCTACTCCTATGAGAGTTTACTATCTATCTAATTGCTCTGGCGAAACTTACAGTAGCTATATCATTTAGATCTCAACCCCACAGAAAAAATATTTAACTCTCATTC